AGGTGACTTACTTTTGATAAAAGGGGGTCGCCACTCGAAAAAATTTAGGAACCACTGATCTAGAAACTTAATAGAAAAATACATAGAAGTAAGAATGACATCATCCATAGGTTGAGCATGCAGTGTTTCATGATAGGAATGATAGAGTTCAGTATACATTAGTGATATAGTATCCCATTACCAGTAGCGTCACATGAACACAACAATGAGCCCATCTTTTTCTATAATTTTATTCTGACCTCTACAATCTTCACAGTTAACTAATTTAAACTAAATCTCTCCAACTATAGTTCACACAATTTCATACCAATCTTAATAAACTAAATCTCTCTAACTATAGTTCACACTATTTCATACCAACCTTAATAAACTAAATCTCTCCAACTGTAAACACATTTCATACCAACCTTAATAAACTAAATCTCTCTAACTATTGTTCACACAATTTCATACCAACCTTAATAAACTAAATCTCTCCAACTGTAAACACATTTCATACCAACCTTAATAAACTAAATCTCTCTAACTATAGCACATCTCATACCAACCTTAATAAACAAAATCTCTCTAACTATAACACATCTCATACCAACCTTAATAAACTAAATCTCTCCAACTCACATTTGACTTTTTGGGAGGGGAATTTAATAAAACACCAGGTGAAGCTAAAGGTCACAATTCTGTTTGTAAAATTGGACACCTTTAGAGTAAATCATTACTAATTAGACTGTACTAGGTGCCACATACATTTAAACAACAAACTGAACAAATAAAATAAACTTGATCTTTTTAATTGTTTGAGAAATATATTAAAATCATTTTGTACCAGTTTCTAAATCTTAATGAAATCAAATTTTTTTTTTACTCCCCTCCACAATTGTTTAAACACATAGCTCTGTGAAGAAAAACTCAGCAAAATATTTAAGTACTCCAGGGATTTGTAGAAACGCAAGATTATTTTGTATAGATTCACACGTTGAAGCTCATAATCCACCAGCACACTCAAGTAATCACAGGGTTCGTACTGCTTTTTGAAAATGAAATTCCAGACTTTTTCCAGACATTTTCCAGACTTTTTTGGAAAAATTCCAGACTTTAGACATAATGTGTTAGCGAATAATTTTTAAAAAATTGATGCACTATTTGTACTGTCATTATAATTACTTATACTAAATTGACATTTATTTTAGGCAATTGAGCTATATTCATATTGAACTTTCTCTAACCAAATTGACAGAAAATCACTTTTCTAAGTTTGCCTACTCCACTCCACCTAAAACGTTAATAATTAAAATAATTGATTAAAATGGTGCAGCTATTTTGTTTTAAACATTAGACTTATGTAATCTGTTCATTCATGATCTGATTGCTTATGTTTTCAATTAAACTATCATTAAAATGGTATTGCATAATACTGATAATAGTGAGAGTTAATTACTTTAAAGAATAATAATGTAATGTATTAATTTAGGTCTGCTCTTGTTAAGTAGCCTAATATAGGCTACTTGTAAAAAAAAATGTGGAGAAAAAAAAACCCACATCATTCACTGTTTGTGCTTATAGTAATAGCTGAGAAACGGGTCTGCAATAAAAAAAAAAAGCCGGTATCCTCCCCCCCCCCCCACGGACACACACAACACGGTGAAGGGGTCACTGTGAGGTCATAGTAGTCTAGACTTCAGTATGCCTGTTTAATACGTCATAACATGAACTGTGCTGTGACTTATACCCCCTCCCCCACCCAACGTACCAAGCAGTACCAACTACCCACTTGGGGTCACGGTGAGTTCACACAAGTGACCGTTGTTACAAGGAGGGGTGGGGTAGTCTAACTTTAATCGTCAGCATTTGCAAAGATTTCAAAAACAGTTTAATGGAAGGTGGATTAAAATTAAAGGGGTCATCCCATTATGACGTAAACATGGAGGGGGGAAAGGGGTCGGAAGATTTTGTGATTACATTCTAAAACAAACATAAAACGTGTAACTTGCGAGTAGAAAGTAAAATTAAGACGACTTTGCTGGTGTTTTAAAAACCATCACAGCGTGTAAACAAAACACGGTATTTATATCTGCTCTAACATTATTACAAGAGCGTGTCATCACACTTTATAAAACCCTCCTCCCGACTTTCCGGAGTGTGACGTCATTTATGGACGACTCCTAAATAAAAAATAGTACCTCTTTGTTAAGCTGAAGCAAACAGAAATACAGGTATGAACCCAAGGAGGCCTTGCGACTTATTAATCTTTTAAATGTTAATTTTAATCCAAAGTAAGTGAACGCGTGTGGACAGAGGGCGGGGGGGAGGGGGGGGGGGTCTAAAATCCGAAAAATTGTTGTGTCATAAATGGATGACGCCTTACAGACTGATACATTATATCTAAACTACCACTCACACATCTCCCCCATAACTTTTTGTTATGACTGCCTGCATGCAAACTCAAACGATGAAAAAATAGCGGGTAAAATCGAGAGCCTAACAATCATGACGGCGATCATTCTTTTAATAAACGACAATTGTAAGTACTTGTCACACATTCACACGGTCAGTCGCGCCACAAAATATCTCTTCCCTCCCTTTCCCTCTTGTCCCAATGACGTAGTAACTGAGCATCCGTTTTTTTTTTCTGCGACCCCGCGAAAAACGTCACAACACAGTGTAAACCCGCGCGATAGCGCGGGGAAAAAAATGGAGTAAATTCACTTAAAAATCGCAATTTTTTTATTTGGAAAATAATTAGGACTACGAAGTTTTGTTACTAAAACTAGATTCCAGACTTTTTCCAGACTTTTAAAAAATCCAGCCCAAAAACTAGCGATTTTCCAGACTTTTTTAAGTCTTAAATTCACTTTTCTAAATTCAAGACTTTTTCCAGACTTTCCAGACTTCGTACGAACCCTGTAATCAATACAATCTTTGCTGTCATTACTCAAGTAATCAATACAATCATGTGCTGTTATTACTCAAGTAATCAATACAATCTTTGCTGTCATTACTCAAGTAATCAATACAATCTTTGCTGTCATTACTCAAGTAATCAATACAATCATGTGCTGTCATTACTCAAGTAATCAATACAATCTTTGCTGTCATTACTCAAGTAATCAATACAATCATGTGCTGTCATTACTCAAGTAATCAATACAATCTTTGCTGTCATTACTCAAGTAATCAATACAATCTTTGCTGTCATTACTCAAGTAATCTATACAATTTTTGCTGTCGTTACTCAAGTAATCAATACAATCTTTGCTGTCATTACTCAAGTAATCAATACAATCTTTGCTGTCATTACTCAAGTAATCTATACAATCTTTGCTGTCATTACTCAAGTAATCAATACAATCTTTGCTGTCATTACTCAAGTAATCAATACAATCTTTGCTGTCAACTGATACAAGTAATACAAGTTTTAAAAAATGATAATGCTTCACAACATTACACAGGAAATACCAAAATAGAGAAAGGTCATTGTTTTCATCCCACAAATACTGTGCTGAATACACAACTCTCAACACAATAATTTTATTAGTAGAAGTGAATACGTTAAAAAAAGCACATTATCTTTTATATCAAGTTATCCATGGTCCTGTAGCTTGCCTTTCAACCATACACAACAAAATGTGCTTTCAAATCCAGATACAGTTGAGATAGTATAATGCAGAGGGCATTTTATGATGAACCATGCAAGCACAATACAAGTCCATGACCATAGGCGGGTCATCACACTCATGGTTGGGGGGGGGGGGGGGGGGGAAGGATGATGCCGCCTACAAAAATGAGGGTGATGACACACTTGCATTTTAGCACCAAGGTTTATATTGGCCAAGTGGAGTTTATACCAAGCTCAACACAGCAGATACCAAACTTTTGAACATGCAGTCAAAGAAAATCTAAAAAAATCGTTTGGATTAAATTTAATACTTTTATGTAGAGATTAACTCATAAATTTTTTTAATTGTCACAAAGGATTGTTGCTATCTATAACCTTCAAGATGTCAAACATGATTTTCTGTCAAGTTTAGCTTACTCAACATTTTAAAAAGAATTTCTTTCCAATTAAAAACAACAAACGAGGAACATGAATAAAGCAGAAATATTAACACCAATACGCTAATTCATTCAAACTCACAGAAGAAGAATGTTAAAACAAATGGTTCAACTGTAGCTACATTAAAGTGGTTAGCTGTGTCCTAGATTCAAATATCAAACCTAAGTGACGCAACAGTCCCTTGACATTTTGGCCTACACCCAAATCCTAACCCAAGTTAGAAATCAGACATCTTACAACTTACATTATACTATAGACCTACACCCAAATTCTAACCCAAATTAGAAATCAGGGTAATCTATCGTTTTGAGTACGTAAAATCGCCCGCGGCTAGAAATGCGCGAAAAAGTTGCCTCACTGTCAAGGCTTTAATTAGGTAGTCCAAACTGAAATTAACTATTGATTGCAGACTTCTGGAGTGAGTATGTCATGAAAGAACTTTTAATTGTAAGGTCTATGCCACAAATTTTATAAAAATATCTCAATAAATAAAAAAGTTATGCGATTTTTAAAAAAGCAAAATTTGGTAAAAAACTGATTTTCAAAAAGTGCCATTTTTGAAAACCCATATTTTTTAAACTAAATAACATAGAAGTGTAGAAATTGGTAAAGTTGCTGCAAAGTTTGTTATATATGCCCAATTTTTTTCAGTCATCTAAAATGAGTCTTTCTAAGGTAAAAAAATAATTGAAAATGACAAAAATGCGTTTTGGTCACTTTTATTTTCATAAAAAAAAAAATTCAATTTTTTTTTTTTTTGCTTTGGAATAACTCTAAAACTATTGTGTTGGTAACATCAACGTGGAAAAATGTGTTAATTATTTTCAAAAATCACATGAGTTAAAATATTATTTTAAAAAATACCACAGTTATCTAGTGCAGGAGAAACAGAATCAAAATTTAGTAGAGTAAATGTAATGTAATGTAGTTTAATAAAGACGTGATGCCTACAAGTGATGCAGCAGTTGATGCCACATGCTTTGGTTTCTTTTCAAACCTATACGGTTGATAACTGCTTTGGGGGAACAGTTTTTAAAACTACAACTCCACATCTTTGTACGTCTTGTTTCCCTCAACCTTGATCTTGTGGAGCTTCAAGAGTAAGTAATATGTTTTGGGAATTGTAGGGGGGAGTGGGGTCTTGGCCTTCTTCCCTTCCCTTGTAAGGAAAGTTCTGGATAGGCCACTGTAAATGTCTCCAGCTATGGAATAAACAATTGATTTAGTGATTAATAAAATAGAATTAAATTTACTACCAGCCTATTGTGTAGGCCTACTATTTGTCCTATGACTATAACTGGAAACATATAAAAAAGGCTGAAAACACCTTTTTGTTAAAAGTAATTTATACTTTATATATATTTTTAAGAGTAATTCTACTGAATGAAATTTGAAATATTCGTTGCTTGTGCCACTCTGGTTGAGATATCCAATAATGAAGATGCCATACTGTGGTTCTCAACATCCTATAGGACAACTTAACTGTCCTTCATTGTTACTATTATATGCATATAAAATAAATAAATAATGAGAAATACTACTAGTACTACTTACACTTACAACTAATATAACATTTAAAACTAAGTCACAACATGTAGAATCTTAATAAATTGCACCACCGTCTAAAAATTGATCTGGTACATTTTATTACGGAGACTGGCGCAGACCATTTCACATTATTTAGCAGGGGAATCAGAATCAGAGCACACAACAGAAAATAAAAAAAATTAATCACATTAGTCCTTAAAATTTAGTGTCTTTTGTTTTAAATAAATCGATAAAAATGTATAGTTATTATAATTATACATTTCTTTTGTGTTTCATTAATATTTTATAAGTATTTAACCTTCGTTCCCTGTAAATAATTGAGTTCGTCCACATAGTAACCAGGATAGTCTGGTGGCCATTTTGAATTTGTCGATTCATAATTTTGACGTGATAGTCCAGATAAACTGTAGTAATACGACCCTATCATTGATCCCAGTCAATAGATTTTAAAGAATTAGTAAACACTAGCATCTAATAGTTAAGTGCATCCATATTTTAAGTCCCTAGAATGTCCTGAATTAAATAGCTTCACGTCTAAACACACCCTGTGTACAAGCGTAGTTCACACGCTAAAACCGTGGACTTGAAGCGTTCAAATTTACATTAATAACGTGTACTAATTAAACCAAACTGACATTCAAACTTAAAATTCATTTATTAAAATGGAAATGAAACTTTAAAAATGATACTTACAACTTGTTTGAAGGCTCTAGCAAGGGTAAAATCCGTTTAGCATCATCGGTCGTCAACCTTTAAAACCGTTCGGCGAGCAACTTACTCGGGGCTGAAAGTCGACTCGAGGGTTATATGTTTATTGGGGGTACGGCTTCGCGACCGTAAATCAGAAATACTTGAATTTACAACACAAAGTAGTTATAAAACTGAACTTTACATCGGTGTAAAAATTGAAACAGAATTAGTTTGTTTCCGTGTATATATCGTCATTTAAAGTTTAAAATCTGTATTTTTTAAATGAAATAAACAAGTTATTTTTTCAATTTATACATCAAACGATAGCCTAGAATTCGATCTTTAAAATGACATTAAGATTATGCTTCTACGATGCTTCGTCGCGAAGCCGCGACCAAATAAAACAGTGTGGGGTCGATCGGTACACGCAAAACGGTGAAATTTGTTGACGTAACTGATACTTTTCAAACAAATATAAAACACATTCAGACATGTGTTACAGATATAAAAATACCAGATTACGACAGATAAAGACTTAAACTTTATTGACATATAATTTTTATTCTTATAGGACAACTAGAAGTAGTGAAATTTTTTTTTTTGAAAACCGCAAAAACTGACCCTAAAACGCACTTTTTCGCCAGTTTGGACTACCTACTTTAATAGAAGTATATTGTGATATATTTGTGTCAAATATTATAGATAAATGAATAATAAACCTAAATCAATGGCTAAATATATCAATATAGACCAGAAATTAACTTTAAATAGCAGTGTTTGCGAGCAAGATTTCCTATATAAACAGCAGCCATTTGTAAAATAGAGTTGCCTTCCCCTGAATCTGGCGCTTTAAGTTTGCAAAAAAAGAACTTAAACAAGATGGCTGCTATAGTAAATGAGCATGGTTGCATCTGTTGGAAACATCGCTAGTCTTCATTTATTACTGAAAAGTTTCAATTCAGTTGTTTAAAAACAGGTACATAAATGAAACAAGGAATCATTTTTGTATTTTTCAAAACATACATCCTCCTCAAAATGTGAAATAATTATTAAAATTCAAGGAGTCACCTGTCTTTCACATTACTAGTCGCGGGCGATTTTACGTACCTAAAACGATAGATTACCGAAATCAGACATCTTACAACTTACATTATACTATAGGCCTACACCCAAATTCTAACCCAAGTTGGAAATCAGACATCTTACAACTTACATTATACTAACTATAGGCCTACACTTCATTTCTTAGCACACATGTTAAATACTTTTCTCACAAACAAGAGAGAAAACTTGCCCAAATAATACATTTTTTAAAATGTATCTGTAGGGTTTAAAAGTTTAAACTGATTTTATTTTTATAATTGATGTCAGCACAAAAAGTTAAACAAAGAATTCAAGAATACTAGTATGTATCTTTTTAAGATCAACAAATGCAAAAGTTGACCAAAATGAATGAATGAAATGAATTTATAGAATTAATATGAGAAATACAAACACCTTCCTGCATAGTCATAGCAACAGATGCCTACCCCAGTCTAAGACATTTCTGAAGTCATGGCAACAGGTGCCTAGCTGAGAAGACATTTCTGCCAATGGATGTAATGAGTGAATACAAAGCCGGGTTAATCCTGCTGGTTCAGACTAAAGGAAGTGAATTATGGTTGGCTGTAAAACAAAATAATAAATCACACTAAAAGCAGTCCAAGACATTCTTATACACCAGTTTTTACATCATTAAAAAAACTATCTCAACGTATTATAAAATTACAAATTCTGATGAAAAACTTTCCTATGATAATAAAAGAAGTTGCCCAATCCATAAGAGAATAAAATCTGGTCTAAAACTGTTTCCTCATCCTCTGGGGTAAAACACTCTCCTGGGCTGTTTTAAGGAAAGACAACAGCCCAAGTTTCTTTTTATTCTTTCTAAAGTAATTGCTAACTACGTCACTGTCATCTGAAAATAGAAATGATAAGCTTAGTGAGACCAAGGTTGGACTAGTGAGACCAAGGTTGGACTAGTGAAACATTAGTTAGACCAAGGTTGGACTAGTAAGACATTAGTGAGACCAAGGTTGGACTAGTGAGACATTAGTGCGACCAAGGTTGGACTAGTGAGACATTAGTGAGACCAAGGTTGGACTAGTGAGACATTAGTGAGACCAAGGTTGGACTAGTGAGACAGTGAGACCAAGGTTGGACTAGTGAGACATTAGTGAGACCAAGGTTGGACTAGTGAGACATTAGTGAGACCAAGGTTGGACTAGTGAGACATTAGTGAGACCAAGGTTGGACTAGTGAGACATTAGTGAGACCAAGGTTGGACTAGTGAGACAGTGAGACCAAGGTTGGACTAGTGAGACATTAGTGAGACCAAGGTTGGACTAGTGAGACATTAGTGAGACCAAGGTTGGACTAGTGAGACATTAGTGAGACCAAGGTTGGACTAGTGAGACCAAGGTTGGACTAGTGAGACATTAGTGAGACCAAGGTTGGACTAGTGAGACCAAGGTTGGACTAGTGAGACATTAGTGAGACCAAGGTTGGACTAGTGAGACATTAGTGAGACCAAGGTTGGACTAGTGAGACATTAGTGAGACCAAGGTTGGTCTAGTGAAACATTAGTGAGACCAAGGTCGGACTAGTGAGACATTAGTGAGACCAAGGTTGGACTAGTGAGACATTAGTGAGACCAAGGTTGGACTAGTGAGACATTAGTGAGACCAAGGTTGGACTAGTGAGACATTAGTGAGACCAAGGTTGGACTAGTTGAGACGTTAGTGAGACCAAGGTTGGGCTAGTGAAACATTAGTGAGACCAAGGTTGGACTAGTGAGACATTAGTGAGACCAAGGTTGGGCTAGTTGAGAAATAGTGCCACTGACCTGTTTCTAAGACTCCTGCACCTGATGTAGTTGGTAAAACAAACTCATTGGCTGAGAGTGAGACAAAAAATGCAAAAGGAACCAACCACAAGCACAGCGTGAAGTACGCAAGAACCTGAAATTGTTTGAAGTCTGGACTTGAAAAAATGTCAAAATAGGACTAATTTACTAGTCAAATACATTTCAGTCTCATAATGATTGTTCAATGAAATGAATAATAATTTAAACGTATTTATGTACAGCTTAAAATGTGTCAATACACCGAACACAACTAGTTTTAAATTTCTCTCACACAGAAATATTTGCTTAAACTCTTATTTTAAAAGTGTATATACTACAAGACAATCCTGAAGTAAGATGTACAATACTTACCTCTGTAAAAGGATAATAATGTGTTGAAAAATGTGAAAATGCCAAGTAGTGGTTAATCAACAAGAGCACTGCAAGAGGTAATAAAAAAGTTGGAATAAATTATACTCATTTTTTATAAGAAACAAATACAGATCTTGATAACAGATATATCATAATTAGGTAACATGTAAAAAAAAAAAGATAAACTATGAGGTGAAGATATGATCCAAAGCTATTAACTGACATGTTGTCATATTTGTAAAAGCCACAAGCAATTAAGTGTTTTAATACTTACCCACCCCACTGATGAATGAGGGGGATGACAAAAAGAAATATGGAAAATTCTGAAGAATAAACAAATGAGCGACACAGCTGGCAAGTCCTCCACCAATCATTGTTACTCCAAAATCTTCAAAAACCAGCATGCCAATGTAAATACAAATTGTGCACTGTTTGGACAAAAAAAAGTAAATGGCTCAACACATCATACAGTAAATATGACAGAGTATGACTAAAATAAACTTAGAAGCTACAAATTTTTAAATGTAATAGTGCAATCTTACATAAACAAGGTATTTAATGATTTTCCCAGCCATCACTGTGTATTCTTCAACTAATTCTGCTAAATAGTAGAGCCCTGCAGCTGCAAAAAAGTAACAAGATAAAGTACAATCAAATGTTAAGTAACAAGATAAAGTACAATCAAATGTTAAGTAACAAGATCAAGTACAATCAAATGTTAAGTAACAAGATCAAGTACAATCAAATGTTAAGCAACAAGATCAAGTACAATCAAATGTTAAGTAACAAGATCAAGTACAATCAAATGTTAAGTAACAAGATCAAGTACAATCAAATGTTAAGTAACAAGATCAAGTACAATCAAATGTTAAGTAACAAGATCAAGTACAATCAAATGTTAAGTAACAAGATCAAGTACAATCAAATGTTAAGTAACAAGATCAAGTACAATCAAATGTTAAGTAACAAGATCAAGTACAATCAAAGGTTAAGTAACAAGATCAAGTACAATCAAAGGTTAAGTAACAAGATCAAGTACAATCAAATGTTAAGTAACAAGATCAAGTACAATCAAATGTTAAGTAACAAGATCAAGTACAATCAAATGTTAAGTAACAAGATCAAGTACAATCAAATGTTAAGTAACAAGATCAAGTACAATCAAATGTTAAGTAACAAGATCAAGTACAATCAAATGTTAAGTAACAAGATAAAGTACAATCAAATGTTAAGTAACAAGATCAAGTACAATCAAATGTTAAGTAACAAGATCAAGTACAATCAAATGTTAAGTAACAAGATCAAGTACAATCAAATGTTAAGTAACAAGATCAAGTACAATCAAATGTTAAGCAACAAGATCAAGTACAATCAAATGTTAAGTAACAAGATGACATACAAGAGTTAAAAGACATTAACAAAAAGGCAATCAAATGTTAAGTAACAAGATCAAGTACAATCAAATGTTAAGTAACAAGATCAAGTACAATCAAATGTTAAGTAACAAGATCAAGTACAATCAAATGTTAAGCAACAAGATCAAGTACAATCAAATGTTAAGTAACAAGATCAAATACAATCAAATGTTAAGTAACAAGATCAAGTACAATCAAATGTTAAGTAACAAGATCAAGTACAATCAAATGTTAAGTAACAAGATCAAGTACAATCAAAGGTTAAGTAACAAGATCAAGTACAATCAAAGGTTAAGTAACAAGATCAAGTACAATCAAATGTTAAGTAACAAGATCAAGTACAATCAAATGTTAAGTAACAAGATCAAGTACAATCAAATGTTAAGTAACAAGATCAAGTACAATCAAATGTTAAGCAACAAGATCAAGTACAATCAAATGTTAAGTAACAAGATCAAGTACAATCAAATGTTAAGTAACAAGATCAAGTACAATCAAATGTTAAGTAACAAGATCAAGTACAATCAAATGTTAAGTAACAAGATCAAGTACAATCAAATGTTAAGCAACAAGATCAAGTACAATCAAATGTTAAGTAACAAGATGACATACAAGAGTTAAAAGACATTAACAAAAAGGCAATCAAATGTTAAGTAACAAGATAAAGTACAATCAAATGTTAAGTAACAAGATCAAGTACAATCAAATGTTAAGTAACAAGATCAAGTACAATCAAATGTTAAGTAACAAGATCAAGTACAATCAAATGTTAAGTAACAAGATCAAGTACAATCAAATGTTAAGTAACAAGATCAAGTACAATCAAATGTTAAGTAACAAGATCAAGTACAATCAAATGTTAAGTAACAAGATCAAGTACAATCAAATGTTAAGTAACAAGATAAAGTACAATCAAATGTTAAGTAACAAGATCAAGTACAATCAAATGTTAAGTAACAAGATCAAGTACAATCAAATGTTAAGTAACAAGATCAAGTACAATCAAATGTTAAGTAACAAGATCAAGTACAATCAAATGTTAAGTAACAAGATCAAGTACAATCAAATGTCAAGTAACAAGATCAAGTACAATCAAATGTTAAGCAACAAGATCAAGTACAATCAAATGTTAAGTAACAAGATGACATACAAGAGTTAAAAGACATTAACAAAAAGGCAATCAAATGTTAAGTAACAAGATCAAGTACAATCAAATGTTAAGTAACAAGATCAAGTACAATCAAATGTTAAGTAACAAGATCAAGTACAATCAAATGTTAAGTAACAAGATCAAGTACAATCAAATGTTAAGTAACAAGATCAAGTACAATCAAATGTTAAGTAACAAGATCAAGTACAATCAAATGTTAAGTAACAAGATCAAGTACAATCAAATGTTAAGTAACAAGATCAAGTACAATCAAATGTTAAGTAACAAGATCAAGTACAAGAGTTTGAAAGAGATCAACAATTTTGGTTATTAACTCTTTAAAATCGCAGGTCCACTGGCCTGCTATATTAAAATAATGCTCAAATCATCACGTTTTCTTGTCAGCTTGGGAAAAATACCAACACGGTCTAGCTAGGGTGAGTTCACATTGGTTGAAGATATGAATAGTGTAGGCGTATAGCGTACGTCATAGCAAGACCATTGCTATCAGATATTGTTGAGATTTGTCGATGTCGTCCATCCCCCCCCCCCCCCCCATCCCATCGTGAGTTCATGTTAAGTATTGCTTCTATTAAAGCGTACTACAACACATGCAGGATATTAGTGTTCAAGAAAACAACTCCCGCTCGCTGTAACATTTGTCAGGAATGATATCAGGTATTATATTCTGCATCTTAAAATGATTGTTTAACTAAATCTTAATGTTTTATTGGCTGGTCCAAAATAGTGGCAGAGGCTATGAGGACCTAGGTCCCAATAGCAGCTGTTGCTATTGTAGCATTGCTAACTAGCCTGGAGGCGTGGCCGGTTGCTAACAACAATATGGCGACCACACTGGACGATTTTTCTTCTTAGTTTCAGTGACCTTCTTAGAATTACTGATTAAAATGTTTACCACGAGCAAAATGACAGGATTTTCACGTTATAAAAACAAACCATAGGTGGCAGGGTTATATATGTCAGAAAAGCATTTTAAAATTTGGTTTCGAGAAAGAAGGCTAAACTCAAAAGTTGGTTTCATTAAAATTAATAGAACTTTTAAAATATCAATGGTGTGGGTGCGAAAATGAGGGAGAAAGTAAAGCATTATTAGTTTTATCAGTCTGTGAAAAAAAAAATGACGTATTAAACTTTTTTTTTTTTTTTATAAATGTGTGTTTTAATTAGAAAAGGTAAAAAAAGGTTATAAATACGCATAACAGTTTCAATTAAATAGTGTGTGATCGTCGGCTGGGGTATAATCCCTACATGGTCAAGGGTTCAACGTGAGTTCACATTGATTTTAATTATCAACATACAGCATTAGCTTAGGTCTTAGGGCCATTGTGAGTTCATGTAAGTTTATTTATAGTATCATGAGTGGGAGATATTTTTAATAATACAAACTTAACCGACTTGCATTTATGAGTTTCTCCTTAAATCACGAACCTAATTTTAAGAGAAAAAAAAAGCTAAATCTAGTGCACATTCAATATTCCAAATTTGGATTTTTCTAAAGTTTTGACAAAAGTAAATTATCAAAAATTAAAACAAAAATTCATAAAGAAATAGGCCAAACATTTTTAGTTGTTTTGGTTGTGTTGATAATAAAATACGCTCAACAGGAGATGAACGTGAAGCGGGGAGTAAAATACGCAAAAATGGAGTTTATTAAGGTGTGTTGTACCATAGGCATAGCTGTGAGTGACAATAAATATTAGCCTAAATTAAGTAATTTAGTTTAAAATTAACTAAAAACCTCGAAATTAGTGCCTGATAGATTAAATAATAAATATGGATGTCTATTTATTCAGTGATCATGTTTAATATGTTTAAATAAATTGCAACCTGAGTAAATTTTAGATTTTGTGAGAAAATCTATAGTCTGCCAGGTCCGAATAGATGCAGCCATAGGCCTAACTAATTTAGTAATTACTAAGGAAGTGGCTATTCAGACCCGGGTCCCATTAGCCACGGCCACTATTGGGACCCGGGTCCTAATAGCCTCGGCCGCTATTGGGACCCGGCATTAAGTTCGTTAAGCACTTGTACAACCTGTATTAAAATTATACCTATTATGTTTATTTGATATTACTTGTGGATTTGCTCGTATTTAGTTGTCTTTTATTGTAATTAGTTATGCGGATTAGCTAGCGTTAGTTCTTGCGTTGCTATTTCTAAATACCCTATATTTAGCTCTGTATACAAAATAATTAAATTTTTAGGAAAATCGTAAGACGTCGTGGTCGAGTGGAGAACGCAGTACTTCCCGGTTCTCGATCAGTTACAGGATCGGAACCTATCAAACCTCTCGTTACTGCGTGAAGTAAAGTGTATTTATCTAAGTTTAACAATCCATTGAGTTGTTTGCATAAGTGTCTTTTTTAAATTGTTTTTTTTTAAAATTTAAATAGATTATATTTTTTTTTCTAGATTTAGGTTTTTAAACACACCAATTATAAAAAAAACATCGTTGCTCTATTGATTGCCCGCTCGCGTTTTCTGGTCAGCGCAAGAAAAATACCGACATGGTCTAGACAGGGTCACTGTGAGTTCACTTTGGTTTAGATGTGAACAGTGTAGGCGTATAGCATACGTCATAGCAAGACCATTGCTATGAGCTTGTCGAGATTTGTCGTCGTCGTAGTCCCCCCCCCCCAACCCAGCAAGAGGGAAAAACGGATTTGGGGTCATTGTGAGTTCAAATGTTACATATTGCTTCTATTAAAGCGTACTACAACGCATGCGAGATATTCGTGTTCAAGAAAACGGACCCGGGAGCTGTAGTCTGCAGCCTATAGAGCTTTTTTTATACAATTATATATAGGACTATATATATATATATATATATATATATATATATATATATATATATATATATATATATATATATATATATATATATATATATATATATATTTGGACGGATAGACCAATGAAATCAAATTACGTTTAACAGAAGAAAAAAAATGAAACACATTTTGACATGCGCGCTCAACATTCGCTCGGCCATAGAAGTTCATACCATAGGCCATAATTATATTTTAGACTTAACGA